TATAATATTTTTCGAGAACTATTAGATACATATTGTGAATTTATTATATGAAAAAATACCCCACTGTAGGGTTTGTGTTGAAACTTTAGATTTTTTTTAATATATAAAAAATTTTAGTTTTGTATACCTCTTTTTTTTATGTAATTTGGATCAATTTAGCGTTTAGAATTGTGCATTACTAATAACAATACTCTACTATAGATTTTTTTTTTCATTTCAATATCTTGCATTTCGAGGAGATAAAAAAAAAACCACACCTTATATTTTATATCTGTCACATTTATAACTTCTGATTTTAAAATTATACTTCATCTTATATTTTCTTGACCAATGGTCAATTTAACTATAAAACATATCTTAATTAACGCCATCAATAAAATAAAAGAATTAGGAAAAAAAATTACAAAATGTTTAGAATATTCAGGAATTTTTCATAGTTAAATTCAAGCTCAGACTACAGAAATGTAAATTTAACGTAAATTTAAAATATGATACTATAAATGTGATGTAGTAAAAAAAAATATAAGATATTATAAAAGGTATTACAATTACTCGTGAGTAAAATGAGTAAACTTGCTTATAAATGAAATATCGGAATAAAATGAAGAAAAATGGTAAAAATCAATTGGAGGTATATATGAGAATATTAATTTTTAATTGGAGCAAAATAAAAAGTTAGAATCTTTTAAAGGGTCAAATTTTTATTTTTAAAAAGTGAGTGGGGGCGCAGCCCCCACTCGGCACCATGTTCGTCCCTCCTGTTGCCTTACGATATTGTTGTCACTCTATATTCTCGTTTTAAAATGGTCTTGCGTTTTTATTTTATTAGGCGCTGTTTTTTTTTTCTTTATTTATTTTTATGCGTTGTTTTCAAGAATATTGTCGTTTTTATGATTGATGCTATCGTTTCAAGTGAATTATATAATTCATTGTTGTTCTTCCCTTTGTCGTCGTTTTTAGGTTAGTGTCGTCTAGTCCTTCTTGATGTGGTTTTTCCATTTTCTGGGTCATTTTTATAATTTTTCTTCTTACTTCAAAACCAAACCATCAATGGAATCTCTCTTAAACGTGCCTTCAGATGCTACGTGGATCTAAAGTACTGTTTTTTATAGCGAGCTTTCTACCATAGAATATCTCTATAAATTGTACTTGTTACTGAATGTTAAATTTTGTCAAGATTACATCAATATCAACAAGTATTTAAAAACGGAACTAAATTAATTTGAATTTATCATTTTAAAGTGCAATACCATTCTCTAACCACATAAAACATAAACCATAATATTTACTTAGCCCAAACACATAAAACAACAGCTTTGATCCAAGAAACTAATTTGAGTCATATATGCCCAACAATAATATATTGACATGCATATAAAGTAAGGATGAAATGTCAATACTTAAAAACTCAACAAAGAGAACCCAGGACAATGTAAAAATAAAATGATGAATGTGAGACATATAACATATTAATCAAGCACTTACCACTAAGGGCTTATGACGTATAACATCCTCTGATCACTTGCTCAAATCTAAATAAAGTACTCAAATCTAAGGATTTTTATGGCTTACTGCTATATTCTAACTTTTTCAACCTTTAATTAACAAAATTAAAAGTTTTATGCGGTGAGTTTTTTTCACTGTCAAATTTTGTCTTATAAGCAACTCACACACACTCGCATATATAATTGAGGCACAGTTAATTAGAATGCAGCATAGGATATTATTGGTATCATATATATATATATATATATATATATATATATATATATCCTTCAATTGCTAGAATGGAACAAAAGTATGCTTTTCCCGAACCAAAAGGAGACAAGTTTGAACACCTCAAAATACCAAAAGGTTTGACGAATTTAAAATGTTATCAGTTTTGGAAAAGCTAAACCCGTTTAATTTGTTAATTTGAATTTTATTGGTTTAAACTTTTTAATTTGAACAGAAAAATTCAAACTGTATAGTTTAAATTATAGTTTGAATTGACGTTTGTTGTGTAGTTAAAATTTTAATTTGAACAAGAAATAAAATTTGAATTTGTGTTTAGTATGTGTGAAAAACAGAAAGAGTAGACACTTTAAACTGTTTAAAAATGGTTTAAACGGTTGGTGGGAAGCTAAGCTCTAAGTTCAGCCGTTTAACTCAGTTCAAACATAGAATATATTTTAAACTGTATACTTATCAAATGTCAATATAAACTATACTCACAATTTAAACTGAGTTAAATTGAATTAAAGAGGTAAATAAACTTTACTACATATATTTAAAAGCAAAACAAAAAGGATTGTCATTTCAAAGCTTTTTTGTTACTTTTTACTAATCTGGAATAAGAGTCACTTTGGTATTAGAGGAAGAAGGCAGCAAAAGCCAAAAGGGTTCCTGAGTGAGCCTTTTTAATTGCTCTTTTTACGATCTTCAAAGCTTCATGTACTACTGCACTCAAAACAAGTATATATAATTAGCTTCATTATACACACGTAAACAAACAAAAGCATATATATATATATATATATATATATATTCTGATTTCAAACTTTTCCACGTTGAGTGTGAACTTAAACTTTTGGGAAAATTAAAAAGACTATCCTAAAATTAAGATAAAAGCTTTCCAATATAATGCCTTTCATGACTAAAGTCCCTAGAAACTTTACTATCCTCTTTATTATGCACAGGTCTAATGTCAATGATTTTAAAATAAAATAAAAAAGAAAATATGGATGAAAATGAGATTTCCCATGAAAAGGATGACAAAAATAGAGGTTTTTATTTTATTTTACTTTTAGTGAGAGATGACAATATATAGTGTGACTGTTAAAGATAGACACTAGGCTTTTGAAGCACAAAACAAAAAGGGAAGAGAATCTTTTGAAAATCATTGAGTTTAGAAGAACAAGCCCTGACCATGAGGAGATCCCAATGGATTTTTTTTGCCTCACCTTCGCCCTACAACTTCTGAATATAACCTCATATTTTCTCTTGACAGAGAAAGTTTACCAACTTTTTGGACCCAGATTTATGCTTTTCTTCTCTGATTTATGAATAAAAAATTGGGGTTGGTATGACAAGGGATTTTGTGACTGGAATAAGTAGATTAGCATCCTAATGGAATTAATTAATGCAATTAATTAGGTTGTCCAATATCAACTAATGGAATTCAATTATATGCAGCACTTCAAAACAGAAAAGACGTATTTATCTAAGAGGTAGATCCACCGAAATGACTTGTCTATATCACCATTTGATTCAAGATGCAATGCTTACTTTATTTTTTTTTTTCTTCACTTTTTTCTTTTGTTGTAATTCTTTTTTAGACTTAAGAAAACCTAAAAAGGTATGTTCACAAAGGAAATTCAAGGTTAGTACCCAATTAGAAAATTATTTTTTTGACACAATAATTGTCCCTTGCAATCATACCCCAAACCTAGAGGTAAGCTTTGAATCCAAGTATCCGCTTCTCTTTTTTCTTTCCCTAAAATTGTGGGCAAAAGAAAGGTACTCTACTTACTAACTTCTAACCCTACCTCTATTGAAACCCTTTCACACTTCCCTAATCTTTCATATAAATAATTTAAATTAAAGCTAGATGGCACCTAAAGGTGTTAGAACCTAAGCCTTGCATCTTTATTTTTTTTTATAAGCTGTAAAATTCTCTAATTACTTGCAACTTGGATAAAACATATGAATTCATGAACAAAACAAATCTTAGGGAAATATATATATATATATATATATATATATATATATATTCTCATGAAGAAAGAGATCAGTGATATCTCATGTTCTCAACCGAACGGCTACTTGACAATCCATTGAGGCCACATGTGGAACGGAAAGAAATCTGGTTCATGTTTTTATCAACTGGCATCTAGTGAGTTCAAAATCACATTAGTATAAGCATACATATGGGAGATATAATTTCAATCTCATTTAGGACAATGAAAATCGAATCCCTAACGGGTGAAACAACCCTAATAGGTTGTGTTACCCCATGCCACCATTACCCATGGTTAATTTGTTAAATTTTGTTGATACGGATTACCTTGGATGTGCATACCTTCACTAGTTAGTTATTATCTTACCTTGGAAGGTAACTAAGCATTCTTGAAAAATAACATTGTTATCTTATCTTTCTGATTAATACCCGTGTGCTTTCGGGGGAAAACCCATCAAGTGTAGACTTTCATTATTAGACACTACCCACCCAAAAATAATTGTTCCTACCAAGCATTGAACCTAATCACCACAAATACCATAACAACACAATAATGCTGCCAGGGGAAATTTTAAGAGCAAAGCAATTTGTTTGCCATCAAAAGAAAAGCGCATTGAAACTGCGGGGTTTTTGGAGATCATCTATGATTTCTAACACTACAAAGGCCATGATTCTCCGTCCAGTTGCATCCGTGTTTCCACTTTCCAAAAGATAAGATAGTTCATAAACTCAAAAACCAAACTTCTGTATCATGCCATTAACTTATTTAAGCAACCAACGCCACAACTCAAAAAACATCTTAAACTTCAAGCTTTATGTTAGGCATCACGAAATATATTGTTTATGTCATATTGGAAAGACCATTATACCCCTTGAGTTCTATCACGAGTGTAATGTTACGAAATTGCAAGGTTTATTTCTTGGAGACCATGTAACATTATTTCTTAACATTGGAAAGAGTCGAAGGACCATGAAAAATCCCACTTTCCAAAATATTAGATATATAATTTCATATTCACAAACAAAATACACCCTATCACCAACCAAGTACTACCGCATCATGCCATTAACCCCATATCTTAAAAACATATCCTTTAAGAGCATGACAGAATAGGCTAATTATAAGCCCCAAGTGAAAGACAAAAGATGATCAAGAAGAAGATGAAAATTTACACGGAGAAAACTAACCATGTGAGTGAAAATCTTCCTTCTTCAAAACCCATTATCACAACATTCAAAAAAAAAAAAAAAGAAAAAAAAAAAAAACAAACCAACGAACCAACTAGACCCTAAGCAAGTAAATACTAAGCTCCGGACCACCGGACCCATCAGGGTTCATCATGTAAAACGCCTCCGAGTCTTTGGACCCAACAACTCTCTCAAACCTTGCTCTCATATACATAATCTCCCCTTCAAACCCACCACCACCATTGTCACACCCGGGCAAAACTCCGGCACCCATGGAGATGGGCCCCACAGCCCTCAGGACCTTCCACTCCTCGGGCCCACACTCTATTCTCGAAGCGAACCCGCACTTCTTCCCGTTGCAGTAAGTCCTCCAAACCGGCTCTTCGATGAGCTTCACCGGCTTCATCTTCTCTGTTGCTATCGCCGTCGTTTTCTTCTCGCACTCCAGCGCTATTCTGACCAGCCCCGACGCCATTTCCCGGACCAGAACGCTCGTGGGCATGGCGAGCTCGATCAGGAACGCCGGGCTGAGCTTGGCCTCCTCTTGGAACGCAAAGTGGACGTGGCCGCGCCGGTGGCCGAAGAGGGTTCCGACGACTTTGGTCCCGAGATGGCGGTGGTGGTGGCGGCTGTGGTGGTGGGATTTTCGGTGGCCGAAGATGGAGAGAGCCGAGAGGAGCTGTTTGGAGATTTTGTTTGTCGTTTTCTTGTTCTTTTGTGGCACCGGGAAGTTGAGGTGGTTTTGTAAGTCTTTGTCGTCGTCGGAGAAGTGATGGGAGGAGGAATTGAAGGTGGTGAGGATCTCTACTTCTTCTTCATCGTTGTTGTTGTTGTCGTTTTCATCGTTGTTGGTGTCGTTTTTCTTCCAGTGGAAGTACCGCCGGGAGAAAGAGAAGGAAGACTCGTGTGGGGTTCTTGCCATGATCGTCTTCATTTTGGAGAAAAAAGAAAAGATATGGGTTTTGGCCTTGATACTATGAGGAAGTGAAGAATGTGATTTTGTTTTGTTGTTGGGTGGTGATTTATTCTTGTGTCTTTGGGGTTGTGAGTCTTTTTTTTGGGTGTCAGAGATTGTTGTATTTCTGTAGTGTGGGACAGTGAGACTGAAAAGGGAATGGAAGAGATAGTATGGTGACAAAAAGGCGGTGAGCAGCCCCCACCAAACTATATTTCACCAACAGAAGGAAAATAGGGATATACATGTATGTGTATAGCATGTCAAAAGTGTGTATCTAAAAGGTTCACTTTTTATTAGAGACAAGACTATAGTGTTAATTGGTAAAGGAGACAAAGGGTTAAAAATTGGGACAAAACAAATAGGAGATTTTAAGATAGAGAAAGAGGTGAGGGAGACAATCGCTGTGTTACTTCTCTATCATTTTTGTTTGTGGGGGCTGAGGGAAATGTGCCCTGCCGTAGGGTAGAGAGAGGGAGGGAGAGAGAGAGAGAGAGAGATGTTTGACTTGATGAGTTAGGCCTCGTTCACTTCGCGGATTCGAAATTTCAATTCGAGCTGAGATGTGACATTTTTAAAGAGCTTTTTACTGTAGCAGAAAAAGTTAGATGTGACATTTTCTGAGAGCTTTTTACTGTAGAAACCTAAAATTGAAAACTCGAATCGGTGAAATGAACGAGGCCTTAAAGAATTGTGAATTGCATTGGGAATAGTGTTTAAAGGGCAGGTAAAAGCCATAACCATCCGCACCCAACTAGGACCATCATTTTGCACTAAGTGTGACTAAAGTCCTCTTTTTGGCTATACGAGTGGGACTTTAGTCATTTCATGCTTTCCTGTGGCTCGCAACAATGGAACAGTTTGGCATGAGCTAGCCACCCATTAGCCACCTTAGTGTTTTGTGGCTTAATGTCTCCTTTTATCATCTTTTTGTCTTTCGGCTGAGTAGAAATCATTAGCAATCAAACCATTGTGGCTACAGATAATGCCGCTCTACAGAAAAAATAGATAGGCCTTTAAAAAAAAAAAGAAAAAAAAAACTAATCTGTTGTGAATTCGTCGACAATGAAGTAAGATAAATTGCTCTCAATCAGATGTTGTCGTTAAATTAGCAAATAGAAAATCAGATATTGTCGTTTATGATGAAATCCTTTACACACTTTACGTATTAAGCTGTCACCATCTGTCACCATCAGTTTATACAATTGCAAACTCAACTATATACAACCCACCAAATTATAAATATACTAAAGAGAGAGGGGTTTCTACTGTTCATTCACTCACAATAGCCTGTTTATTGTACAGTAATTCTGGGATCGTTCACTTTACAAATTTGAGTTTTTAATTCGAGTTAAGATGTGGCATTTTTTGAGAGCCTTTTACTGTAAAAACTTAGAACTGAAAACTCGAATCGGTGAAATGAACGAGCCCTCTATTTTTCCGAGTTTGTTCTTTACTTTTCTTTGTTCTCTTTTTTTTTTTCTGAGTGTGGGCAGTTTTGTCTTTTTGGCGTATGTTTTTTCCGAGTTTGTCCTTTCCTTTTCTTCTTCGTTTCTTTTCCTGTGCGTGGGTGATTTTGAATTTTTTCCGGTTTAGGGTTTCATTGTTTTGCTCGAGTTTGCTCTCTGCGGCCGCCTCTTTTATTTGGCCCTTTGTTTTGGCTCGCCCTTTGCTTTGGCTACTTCTTCTATTCTGATCTTCTTTATTGTCGCCATTTCTTATTTGATCTTTGTTTGGTTGATGTTTTCGGTGCAGATATTTTTCGTTGGCCTCTGCTCCTTTTCTTCTTTCTCGATTAGGGATTTTTGTTGTTTTGACGCATGTTTTTGTTCTTTCCATTAGGGATTTTGGTTGGGTTTTCTACTCTGCTGTTTTGATTCGTGGTGTTCTTGATCTTTTTCTGTCTTCTTCGTCAGGTGAATGTTGTCGGTTCTGTGTATTTTTTTTTATTAAATAAATTTGTGCCCTTTTTATATGTTCTTCGCGGGGTGATTGTTGTGAGTTCTATGTAAATTTTTTTAAATTAAAAAAAATTATTTAGATGGTGATATTTTTGAAGTTTGGTTATAATTTACTGTTATTTTGTGTTTTGGAATGTTGTCGCTGCTTTGTATTGTTTTTTATAGTGCTTAGAAAAGTCTCTTCTTATTATTGTTGATAAATGTTAGTAATTCATGGTTGTTGTTTTTTTTTTTTTCACCAGTATATAGTGCTCATGGATTGATTTGTTATTCATTTATTTCATATGCGTACTTTTATCCAATACATGGTATTTTCGATTTGTGTCTTAACACGTTTCTTTTTTTTTTTTGGCCACTGCACTTTATTTTGGCTTATTTATTGCTCGGTCTTTTAAGCTTTATACTTTTTTCCTGTCTTTGATTAGTTGATATTCTCTACTTGAGGCAATGTTTATAACGTTGCAGGTACGATTATTAATTATTGACCATACTTTTTTAATGGCTGTTGTTGATATTAAATCCTTTCACTGAGAATAAACGTAAAAGACCAGGTAACATAACTACTTCTAAATTAAAACATTTTCAATTTTCTCAATTATCAATACTCACTTCTTTAAAATTTTCATTTTGCAGCTGAAAAAAAAAAATAGAAGTCCACATAATGAGAACTAGTATAGAGGATCTGAGCTAATAACTTCTATCCACAAAGAATGTGACAGATAGGTTAGGGTTTTTTTTTTTTTTGAATATATATATTATAGACAGGTAGTGATTAGTGAAGGTTCTTTTAACTGTTAAATTAATTTTTTTTAACAGTTTGCTCTATTAAAGAGGCACTTTTATCTCATGCATATTTTTAACTAGGATATTCGACCAAAATACTACTAAAACTTAGGAGAAGTTTGATTCATAGATTAGAATTATTTTTTATTTACGTGTATTTTTTATGAGAGAAAACGCTATAACAAATCATGAACCATTACGAATCTCCCAACCAAACAATCCCTTAGTCCAACTGCCAAAATTACATTCACTATCGATAATGGAAAAAAAGCCTTCCCTATTATAGAGAGAAAAGATCTCATTTTTGGTTCGCTAGTTTAAATTTTATTGGTTTAAACTTTTGATTTGAAAAAAAAAAGTCAAACTGTGTAGTTTAAATTATAGTTTGAGTTGACGTTTAGATGTGCAATTAAAGTTTTAATTTGAACATGGAATAAAATTTAAATTTGTGTTTGGTATATGTGAAAAGCAGAGAGAGTGAGCACTTTTTACTATTAAAAAATGGTTTGAACCGTTGAACTTGAGAGAGAGAGGTAAACTCTAAATTGAGTAATTTAACTGCATTAAAACGAGAAATATAATTTAAACTAAATGCTAACCAAACACCGTTTAAACTGTATTTATTGTTCAAATTAAGTTAAATTGAATTAAACTAGTACAACAAGTGGGACAGTAACATTTTGATTAAAAGGGATAGTGACATCACAAGAAATGGGAACAAACGACGAAACAATATCCAACTGAACAACATAATGAAAATTAATGATTGAAGAGCTGGAATAAGACAATGAAACTTCATAATGAAAAGTCTCAGCAAGAAACATAAGTGAATCGATGGAAAGACTTAGGCCCGTTCATTTCACCGATTCGAGCTTTCAGTTTTAGATTTTTACATTAAAAAGTTATCATAAAATGTCATATCTAATTTTTTTTACTACAGTAAAAAGCTATCAAAAAATATTACATTTCAGCTCGAATTGAAAACTCGAATTCGCAAAGTGAACGAGGCCTTAGGCCTCGTTCATTTCACCGATTCGAGTTTAGAATTCGAGTTTTACTACTATAAAAAACTCTTAGAAACAGTTACATTTAACTTTTTATTATAGTAAAAAACTTTCACATAAAATCATATTTTAACTCGAATTAAAAATTCGAATCAACGAATTAAACGGGCCCTTAAAGTCCCTGAAGAATGAATCTGATTGTACCGTGAAAATTGATCTTAAAAATCGATGGTGGAGAAGGCTACAAGAAGAATCCCCACGGGGATCACAACCTATAAGTAGAGAAGACGACTGGTGAATGAATCTTTTTCTCTGTTCACCTTATCGAATTGATTTTTGGATTTAGAGAGTCCTAATAACATCACCAGCATTATCATTGTATTGTGATTAGAATTTAAAGTCTCAGAGAGTGTTAAAAATTAGAAATAAATCTGCAGTTAACGTCTGGAGTTAAAGCAGAAAACCTCTCAAACGCACCTGCCACAAAAATTTCCTTTTTCTTAATGTGATAGTTTTTTTTTTTTTTTTTTTTTGGCAAAGACTCATTGTAGCCTTTGTCACTATGAACTTCATATGTTCAACATGTGATGGAGACTGTTCTTTTAAGTCAAAATGGTTAATTACAATTTCTGTTAGCACCAAAACTACACCGTCCTACAAGGAAAACTAAAGTTAAAGTACCGACAGATAGCTTTCACAGGTCAACCAACCATGACCTATAAACCAACTACTTGAACTAAGATTGTATGATCTATTTACATGTAACCATTTAATTAAATACTTGTTATGATTTGTTGATGGTGAAAATGCTATCCCACAAAATGGGTTGGTGAAAATTGTTTAACACTTAAAGGAATACAAGAACAATCTAAAAGAAAGTACTTACGGAAGTGAAAAATACTGCGCAAATAACATATATTGAGCTTCTAGCTTACCAAGTCCACCCACCAGTACAGCAATATCTTTGGAGAGATCATTCGTGCTGAATAAAGTAGCCAAATAATGGCAAATTTCTAGCAAATTAAATAAATGGGAGAATTTTGATACGCTTGGCGTACCGGTGGGTCAAGTTTTTTTAACCATTAAATCTATGTATTTTTTTTTATTTTTATACGATTTTATGCAGATCCGACGGACAAAAAACCTGACATATCAGTATGTTGATGTACCGAAAAAGGTCCAAAAGAATTTCTTCTTCATTTTTTTTCTCTTTTTGAGAGATTTTATGGTATACTTATGAACAGGTAGATTAAGTTTTTTTAACCGTTAAATCTGCATACTTTTTAATTTTTATATGATTTTATGTAAATTTAACAAATAAAAAATCTGATTAACCGGCATGTTGGCGTAGTTTTTATTTTTTTATTTTTTATGGAAAGACAATAAAAGTGTTTAAGTGTAGCGATTAAATCATCCAGATCTCCATATATTATTAGTTAACAGAAATAATAAATGTCATTTATAATGCCTTTACTAAAGCAACTGTTTGTCACTGTAAGTGGATATTTTCTATCATTTTTTACATCATACTAATGATTCTGGGTTAAACCTAATCCTGAGCTTCCATGACGAATTCGGGGGTTAAAACAATCCAGTAAACCGTTTGTCCCCAAAAAAAAAAAAAAAAAAAAAAAAAAAACAATCACGGCAGGTAAACTAGAATAATCAATATCACATTAATAGTTATGACTACATGACACCTTGTGCTAATATATAGACCTACCCGATTTTCCTTATTAACTGATTTCACAATGTGAACATATTAAAGGGATAAAATTGCTTTGGTAGTATAACGAAACATTTTGCAAGTCTTCTAATTTTTTTTAATAATATTAAAATAGTATTTATAAGTTTTAGAACACGATTTTTTTAATACTTTAAGTCTTATTTTTAGTACTTAAAATGTTAATTGTACTCTTATTATTTTTTCATTAAACGGAACACGATTTTTTAATACCGTAAGCCTTATTTTTAGTACTTAAAATGTTAATTGTACTCTTACTATTTTTTTCATTAAACGGATTGAAATAATATTATAATTCGGAAAAAACAGTAAATTAACCCTGTAACCAATCATACCTATTAGTCTTATACCTTATAAAACTCCCCAATTTTCTTCCCCTTCTCTTTCCCATTCGACACTTTAGGCGTATTTGGAACTCGTTTTAAAATTATTTTATTTTTTATATAAAAATGAAAATGAAAACGTTTTTAATCTCAGACAAAAATCATTTTTAAAAATGTGTTTGGTAGTTTTATCAAGAGATAGTTTTCAGTATAAAAAACCTCATTAATGTCTCTCTTTTGCACTTTGCTCGAGAGAGGAGAAACCGAAAACAAAAAATGAAAAACGACTAAAAGTCGTTTTTCATTTCTCTCATTTTACACTAAACCAAAAAATCGTTTTCATTTCCGTTTTTTATTTTTATTGCGCCAAACGCCGTTTTAAAAACGTTTTCATTTTTTTTTCTTCGAAAACGTGAAAAACAAAAAGGGATCCATTCCAAACACGAGCTTCATTTCTACCCCTCTTAGCTGCTCATAATTTGGGATTCGGCGCGAGTTATCCGTTGGAGATTTTAGCTGAGGACTGCTAGAAATAAGTTTGTAGCAGCCCTAACAGTCTCTGGGGTTGAGAGTTTGAGTGAGTTAGGGTTAGTTAATTTGGGTTTAATTATTTGATTGGTTTGTATCTGTTTTACTCAATATATATGGTTGTGCAAAAGTCTGAGCGATAATGGTGTTAGATTGGATGTTGTTTCGGAAGAAGCCTTTATTTGCACACTAAATGTTGGATAAAATGTACTTGAGCAAAGCCCATCACAAATAAGTTTACAAATAAAATAAATGAACATTTTTTGATACGCCAACATACTAATACGTTAAGTTTTTTAACCTTTAAATTTGAATAAAATCATATAAAAATAAAAAAATACGCATATTTAACAATTAAAAAAACTTAAACTATCAATACACCGGCGTACTAGAGAATCTCTCGTGAAATAAAAAGAAAGTAATAGAGAAAGTAATAAAGAGAACATAAAACATACTGATGGAGAGCCAAAGCCCATCACACATTAGCTCACATAAAACATCGCTAATAACACGTACGGATCAAGCCCAAGGAAACCGGAAATCAATACACGCAGCAAATTTCATTACATATATACGAGACAAAATGTGAACACGCATATTATACACATGCACGATCACTTTATTTAAGCCTCGAGAAGGTGGGCTTTAAGATCTTTGGAGAGATCGATTGTGAACTTGAGCAGTGTATGGGGGTCTACAATTTCACCATGCAGCTTTTCGTATTCTAAGGTTTCATTTATTTCACCGATTCGAGTTTTTAATTTTAATTTTGCTACAGTTAAAAGTTCTTATAAAAAGTCACATTTAATTTTTTTACTACAGTTAAAAGTTTTTACATAAATTTACATCTCAACTTAAATTGAAAATTCAAATCAGCGAATTGAACGAGGCCTAAAGTCCAGTGCAAAATGCTGCCCTCGGCACTGGCGGAGCCATTAGGAGATGCCCCCACAGTTTTTAATTTTAATTTTGCTACAGTTAAAAGTTCTTATAAAAAGTCACATTTAATTTTTTTACTACAGTTAAAAGTTTTTACATAAATTTACATCTCAACTTAAATTGAAAATTCAAATCAGCGAATTGAACGAGGCCTAAAGTCCAGTGCAAAATGCTGCCCTCGGCACTGGCGGAGCCATTAGGAGATGCCCCCACAGAGGTTTTTTTTTTTTTTTTTTTTTTTTTTTTTTTTTTTTTTTAAATAACCTTTAAAAATGTGTGATTTTATTGTTTTGTCTCATTGAAATATAATTTTTTTTCCCCCCAAGGGGTTTTTTTTTTTTTTTTTTTTTTTTTTTTTTTTTTTTTAAATAACCTTTAAAAATGTGTGATTTTATTGTTTTGTCTCATTGAAATATAATTTTTTTTCATATACGATCATATTGAATTTCACACTTTTTTATTACTTTTAAAAAAATTTAATATATGTCCCAATTGAAATAAAAGTTTGTCTCCGTCACAGCCCACGACATTAGATTTGGGATTTGCTTTAATAGTGACTACGAATTGAGGTGCTCGGTAAGGTCTCCTTCAATCACTTTGAGAGTTATTGAATTATTTTCATCGTCTATGGCTTTAACTTATCCACATGAATGTAGTTCATCACTTCCATGTACTGCTATTGAACTACTCATCAAAATGAGATAATTACCCGTTACTTCTATAATTTGACTCAACTGTTTAACAGAAATAAACATGTAATATTAAGAGCTAAGCGAATAAAAGGTCCCTAAACTTTCTCCGCTCCCTAGAAATAGTTCCCGTTAACTCAGTGACATGTGCAGAGCACTACTCAGATGAAGTAAGCCGAACTACTCCACCTTTGGCTTTTGAACATGAAGACTGTGCTGAACAGGACAGAACACTCTCAGCACCTGTTCGGCGGCCTCCTTGAGGAGACTCACCGACCAAATGAAACCAACACACATGCTTTCGCATACGCACTCACTGCCAAACATAACCGTGCTTGAAGACCTCACACCGTGTTGGCCGCATCTGAGGCAAAGTGATGACCACCATTAGATAAATACGGTACAAGAACCCTAGATTTACGACACCTATCATGTTGCCTGAAAGAGCTTTCCTATCTCCATGCAAGACAGGAGAGTCGTTCCCGAACATTGATCGAAGCACCGACTAAGAAGTGCCGGAGATTGGAGTCCGAACACCGTGCTCCTCAGCACGTGGATGTCGAGTCAGCTCAAACATCAACAATTCCCGTGTTAAAAGTTGTATCAAATTTAATCCTTGAAATAAATAAAGGTGTTAAAATTAGTCTCTATGTCGAACAATTGGATGAAAAACGTTATATGGATATATTAGTTTGGGTGACTTAGTTAATGCAAGTAAGTCTGTTAATGAAACCAAACTTCTCTTCGGTAGATACAAAGAAAGCCTTGAATATTTCCACGATCCCAAAACATAAGTACAAAAATAAACATAAAGCATCCGATAGACATAGAAGTTAAGAAGGTAGTGGTAGACACGCGTACAACATAATAATGCAGTTACATTTATTTAGTCAATTGGGAAGGGATTGAAACCGCTCTGCGCCATTTTCTCCAAAGGCCAAAAGAGAGGTTTTGGGAGGTTGTTCCAGTCGTACCAATCCCAACCATCACACTTGTTAGGCTCAAGATTTTGAGGCACTTGGTCACTGTCTCTCAGAACTGCTCGGATGAAGATGACCACATAATGGGATGGTTTTGGCTCTTCCAAAAAGACATTGTTTGTTACTGTGAGGACCTCCATCTTCTCAATGACCAAACCAGTCTCTTCCTTTACTTCCCTCGCCGCACAATTCTCAAAGCTCTCTCCTATGATCAAATTTAGAATAAACTGCAAGTCAGCTTAATTGGTGGATCATGATTGATTCTTTACATGTCCTGAAATCTTCGAAATTTTATTCATTTACTTATTCCTGGTTAATAACAATAAAAAAAAAAACAAAAAAAGTAAATTAAAAAATACACCCTGAACATTCAAATCAATAGCGATTGAAGTCCAATTCCAATACAAGAGATTTGTATATGACCTAATTTGAAAAATGATGAATTTTATTTTCACGTGCAAATTCCGTGTCTTAAACCATCATTTTGATAACGTTGATTAGCTATTTAAATTTAATTGCTACTGATTCTATAGTTACAAAATTAGGTGTTGATCCAACATGGACAAAATTAACGGTGTGGGACTCCTCAATTTGCGTGAAATCACCTGACTTTAACAAGTTGGTTTGGGCCAACACAAACAATGATAATACAGACTACAGAGCACATAGAATATGAAAATGTAGCACTCTAGATTCTGGAATTTTCCAATGAACTTATTTTGTAAGAAATGCCCATAAACAACCGATGTAAAGCTAATAACACAAAAAAAAAAAAATTGTAAAAGATGAAAATGACTAGAATATTAGAGAGAGAGACCAAACTCAAGGTGGCCGCCGGGGAGGGCAAAGGTGGAATCACCGATGGAGGAGCGACGCTTTCCCAAAAGTACAGTTTTGCCCCTCAACAAGAACACCGCTACCCCTACTCTCGGCACCGGCTCCTCTTTCCCGTTTTCCATTCTTCTTCAAATCTAATCTTTAACACAACAAAACTGGGGACTCTTCGGCTTTCGCTTTTTCCACCTCTGTTTGGTTTCGCTCATTTTTATACTGAGAAAACTACCCAGATGGTCAAAGGAGTGTGACGACTGACGAAGAGTGCATTGTCATAGTCAAATTGGTTGTCACGTGGAAAGCTGTGATTGGCTTCTTGATGGGTCCTTCTGCGTATGAACTTCCAACACATATATTTCTTCGCTATTTTACACCTTTATCCCCAATTAGTTTTAACAATTTATCTCTTAAATTTTTAATTTTGACATATTATCCCTATTTACTTATAAAGTTATTATAACATGCTCTATTATAACAATAATTATGTTAAATTAATATTAAACAAGAATGGTCGATGAAAAATTTTAACATCTCAATCTAAATGTAATATAAATCTTTTAACTTCTTAACTTTTATCTCTTATATCTAATAACAAATTTGGGTAGAATTAGTAAGATGGGAACATTGCAATAATTTTTTAAAATTTGGGGGTTGATTGTCAAAATAAAAAGTTTATTGGATAATTTACTAAACCACGATGAGCTCGAGAGAACTAAGTAAATTACTAATGTATAGAAAATAATTGAAATAAATTGTCAATTTTAAAACATTTATAGTAAATAGAAGTAAACTAGAAATTTATGTAGTAAAATTTTTTTTATAAGTTGTAATTGAACATTTGTGTAGTACAAAATTCTTTTTACTAATCACAAATAGAAATTTTACGTGGTAAAAATTTTTAATGCTAAAATGTTATTTACTCCTGACTAGCTGCCTCTCTGCCCCTTTTTTCCATCCGAGCTTCATGGCTTAATAACTTGCGCAACAAGCTCACCTTTCTTCCAAGAAAAGAAGGCTAATTATAAAAAATAAAAAATATATATATTTGAATGACTTATCAATATCTATTTATTCCATTCTACTAAAGGATAATGATTCTTTTCCTCGGGGTCCGAAGCATTTCTCATGTTACTGTTGATTTTTGAAACGATTTTAAATGTAAAAGCGTGTGTCTAGCGGATTACAAAAATTTTCATAAAATTTTTACAATATTCTATATAATATATTAATTTATAAGTGAATAAATTAATCTAATTAATTTATTTACGTAGTGAACGATTAGGTCGCTAACTTGAGTTTTTTGACTACGAACAATCCTCGCTCTAAGTTTTCTATAAAAACCTGAATCTTTCTCGTCTAGTTCTTGCTACCTGTAAGACTTAGAGTGTGGACTCTAATTTAGAATTATAGAATTGATCAATCACTAATTTTCTCTTCCACAAATATCAACACATGTATGAGGTGGAACTAGGAATGGAACAACTTTTTTTCTCCTTTTCTCTCTGGTTACACGCCTACCTCTAGTAAGTTACACGCTAACCAACTGCGTGTTACATGCCTACACTAGGCATGCTACACTAGGCATGCTACACGTGTAATGACCGAGAAAATCTTAGAATTAAATAATGTAAATTTATTTATTTAAGTCAAGGATTTTTCTCCGAGAATATCATGTCATATTTTGTAACTGAAGGATTTATGAAATTAATATCAGTATTCCTAAATTATGTAGCAAATTTTATGATTAATTCATAAAATAACGAGCAAGTAAATTCAGTCGATAAATTCTTACCGCAATTAAGGCGGAAGAATTCTCAATGCATATACAGCTTGAGAATTTAATCTCAGAAATCTCCCAGTTCAGTACAATGTTAGCAGCGTATAGAGAAACACTCTGATATTTAAAGAAAAAAACCCTTAATTTTTGAACAGATAAGGGAAATTATAAGGGTAAAGCTTTTAGTAGAAAGATAAAGATACAATATGAGCTCGGGAGTTGATACTGTTAGAAATGATGTCATTCCCGGGATATAGTGCTAAAAAAAGTTAAGATTAAAATTTATGCACTCTAAAAATTTTTCAAGACTGGAACAGTTTGAAATATTACAGCATTAAGAGCTTAATTCGATCTTGAATTATTCAGAGATTAGTATCATACTATAAATAAACAACAGAAAAGGAACCGTTGGAAACAAAAATTTCCCATCGGCTAAGCTAATTCCCTACAGTCGATATAAATCTTGACTGCTTTATAGAGAACCTTAAGAGATAAACTTAAGGAAGTAATGATGAGCTTGTATTTATAAAGGGGACAAATGTTGATTAACCATTGGAGATAAGGCATTTGGAAATCCTCTCTTTTTCTTCTCCAATTACAGCCGGACACATAGATGGCCAAATGGCGATTAACGATTGGATGAGTTTAGCCGGCCAATGAGATAAGAGCACCTATTGGATAAAATCAAATTATCTATCATCCTGTGCTTACGTCAACAAGATGACATCAAGTAATTAATTAAGAATTTAAGTGAAGTATGATACAATTACTGATTTTCAGACTGCAATAAGCAAAGAAGTGCAGAATGCTGTGTTGATCCCATAAGTGGGCTAACACATGAATATTAAGGTTAAAAAGTGAAAAAGAATTGAAAAACATCAATTCTAGGGTTTTAGAGACAATTAGAAGAAAAAATGGATAAAAAAGGGGTCTAAAAGGTTGAACCGAGAAAATTAGGATTTTTGACTTATTGAGGTTGACCGAGTTGAAATATTATTGACCAAAGAGTTGACTAATAGATCATACTTGAAAAGTTAGTCAAGGTTGAATAAAGTTGACCAAGTTGACCAATTGTCCAGAAAACACAGATAAAATGCGTACCGATTAGAAACTAAACTAAACCGGAAAAGAGATAACCATTAAATATGGATGGTTGAGATTTAAAGTGACCTTTTGGATGGAGGGCTTAGATCATGCCATTTGCTTAGTGAGGTAGCCGGCCAAGCTTGCACAAGAAGCCAAGAAGATATATTTTTAGTAGATGTTTGCAAAAAAGACCCTAAAAGTTAGAAAATTATTTTTAGGCCCCTTATTTTCTTTCTCCAATGTGTTTTAAGTGTAAAAACACAATAAAATACTCTCTTTTTTATGCCAAAAACCAGTGAGTGTTCATCCAAGAGAGAGGAGAAAAATGATTTACTAAAAGTGAAGAAAAGCGAGTTTTAAGCGGAAATCGATCGAATTGCCGAGGATTAGAGACTCCGAAGCTTATTCTTCATTTTTCTAAGGCGGGATTTCAATTTTTCCTCTCATTTCCTTACCTTGGCCTAATTCATGGATGTGGAAAAGAGTATGGAGAAAGTTTGCTAAGTTGATGATTGAATTTCAATTGATAAAGGAATTGAAAACTTAGGGTGCGTTTGGAATTGGTTCCAAAATGATTTTGTTTTCTGTATGAAAATGAAAATGAAAACGTTTTTATTTTCATTTTGAAATCATTTCTGAAAATACGTTTGGTAGTTTTATTCTGAAATTGTTTTCAGTTTTAAAAAAACTGAAATTGTGTTTGGTGGTTTAATTTATGAAAACATGTAATAATATTTAAAATAATAATATCCGTTTGGAATTGGTTCCAAAATGATTTTGTTTTCTGTATGAAAATGAAAATGAAAACGTTTTTATTTTCATTTTGAAATCATTTCTGAAAATACGTTTGGTAGTTTTATTCTGAAATTGTTTTCAGTTTTAAAAAAACTGAAATTGTGTTTGGTGGTTTAATTTATGAAAACATGTAATAATATTTAAAATAATAATATCTTAAATAAATAATAATATTAAATATATTAAATAAATATTATTATTAAATATATTAAATAAATATATTAAAAATGAACGTGAATTTTTACATGGGGCAGTCGAAGAAGAGCGGCGCCGGCGGGCGAGGGGGGGCAGTCGGAGAAGAGAGCG